CGTCCTGTGCCTTCTCACGTGGCGTGCTGAGAGGACACAGCGTCGCCTCAGTAGTGTCCTGGTCCCAACTGCTTCCCCTAAACCTCATCTCTAAGGAGAACCCGATGAATCCAAATTGGGAATTTCCTAATGTAACAATAAGCAGTTGGTATCATTTTACATCTAAAAAATCATCTTAAAAGAAATGAGAGTTAAAATTAGAATGTGCCCAGCCAGGTGTGGCTCAGCAGTTGAGCGTCGACCTATGAACCAAGAGGTCACCAGTTCAATTCCTGGTCAGGGCATATACCCGGGTTGCAGGCTCAATCCCCAGTAGGGGGTGTGCAGGAAGCAGCCAATCAATGATTCTCTACCATCATTGATGTTTCTAAGTCCTACTCGCTTCCTCTCTGAAATCAATAAAAATATATTTTTTTAAAAACTAGAAGACAAAACGATATAGAACAGTTAGGAGTGGGGGAAGGGAGGGTGGAGATGAATTTCAGAGAGCCTACAGGGCCGAGAGAATGGGTTCTAACTAGAGTGGAACTGTGGGGAAACGGGTTTAATGTGATGTTTCAGTCTACACCAGGGGTGGGCAAACTTTTTGACTCGAGGGCCACAATGGGTTCTTAAACTGGACTGGAGGGCCGGAACAAAAGCATGGATGGAGTGTTTGTGTGAACTAATATAAATTCAAAGTAAACATCATTACATAAAAGGGTACGGTCTTTTTATTTTTAGTTTTATTCATTTCAAACGGGCCGGATCCAGCCCGCGGGCCGTAGTTTGCCCACGGCTGGTCTAGAGTAACTAATGAAATATCTTGTGATTAAACCAAAGTTTCTCAGTAGATGATGATTCTCTTGATCCGGTTTAACATCAGTAACTATAATTCTTCATTGTTTTCATCAGAGACTCTTCCCACACTGTCCTCCACACATACCCATCACCTTCGCAGCTAACTCGCATTGTAACACAGTCACATCTACGTGCAAAGCCACGCAGAAGAAGAAGAAACAAAACAGAAACTGTCTGGCATCGTCCATGTTTCCACACCAAACGTCCCTACGTTGTAAGGACAACATCTTATAAGTTTGACATTTTATGCAAATATCTTCCATCAGTGCAGTTCTGGACACACATAGGACACAGAGCCAGCGGGAGCCCACAAGAGGACCACGCTCAGACCATGATTTTACACACCTCCACCCCCAGGAGGAACCTCCAGAAGAGACACGATTAACAAGACAGGAGCCATCACAACACCATGACCAGGAAATGCCGGACGTGAACACCTACCGCGTGACTGGCTGCAGGTGAGGGCAGAAAAGCACCTTGCGTTTTGTCCTTGGGCCCAAAGTTCCCACCACACTCGCCCGGGCGCCTGCATGCTTCCCAGATATTGAAGGCGTTAGGCCGAGCCCACCTGCTGACGGTCATTAACATCAATGACCTCCATGAAGACTTACGCTCCAACTGCCCTAATGGAACACATGCTAGGATGCACGTTCGATGGCTGAAATGAACAAACGCACGGGCCTTCCGAGTTTGGGGAACGCGGGAGAAGCCCCTCTGATGCCCAGGTCAGCAGCAGACGACGAAACGCCTCCCTCAGCTCCCGGGTGCACGTGGACAAGTTTGGTTGAGGGGCCCCGAGGAGAATCAGTAGCACTGGAGTGGGGGGGGGCCTGTTCCAAGGGGTGTGAGGCGCCTTTACATTTCTGGGCACATGCCCAGCCACCTGTCACGCAAATGCAGGTTTCCACCTGAACTCGGCCTCTTCCAGCGCCAGCGAGCGCACAGCCAGACGCCCACCCCACACGGAGACCTGTCTGCGCCGCCTCAGGCGGGTGCCACGCCACCACCCAGAGAGACACGGCCACATAATGTGGTCATTGAGGGTCCACACTCGGAGGGTCCGGTTACCCATTCACAGCAAATACTGAGCCACGTGCTCATCTGCCAAATGCGAAGGCTGCAGGCAAGTCGCCGGATTCTTTGACTCCGAAACAAGACCCATCTGTACAAGAAGCCACTGCGAAACCGTGACCATCTGAGCAACATGGAGAGAGGGACCCACTGGCGCCGACCCCGACTTGCAGAACGTTCCCACGGGTCCGGCTCCCGGGGGCGCGGCGATGGCCAGTTGCTGGTCGGACAGGACCTCCTGAGCACAGCTCTGACATTTCCAATACCACGCATTTCCGCGAAAAAGGACGAGAAATGTTTGTTAAGATGCGATTTTCATAACCGGCAGCCACGCAGCCATTAATTATTCAAAGGGCATCACGCGTACCTGGGTTTTTGTTTACCGTGACGACGACGTCACTTCTCATGGACACCACGGGCTGCTTCATCCCGGGAGCGTGGCATGTGCCTCGAGAGCAACCTCGGGTCACAGCCAAGAGCTGGGCACGGAGCTGACGAATGGTCAGACGCTCCTGGCGAGGCCGCTTCATTCTCCCCAGGATGGAAAAATACCAACCGCTCGGATCAAGTCATTTGCAATATTTGAATTTCTTACCAAATGCCAATTTCCCAGGAAAATCCTTGTAAGAAAGGCACTGACTTTGGCTCTGAGATCACAGCTGAGCCCAGCCGAGCCCTGGGCGTCACTGAGCGGAGCCAGCAGCAGCAGGCTGGCCTCCTCCAGGCAGCCCCGAGGGTGGGCCAGGGCTGGCCGGACCTGAGCCTCCGGGTGCGCACGGCCCTGCCCAGGGTCCGAGTGGGCAGCAGACTCATGTGCAGGGAGCACTCCCAGGATTCTGTTTCTTATGACGTCACAGGAGCAGGGCCATGGACTCCATTTTGGAGACACACGCCCATGTCTCCGGGTGCCCTGCTCGGACCACACCTGCCACCGGCCCACAGAGCCCACAGCTCCCTTCTGCGGGGGAGGCTTCCCCCTGCCTGGCGCCAGGTCAGGCCCGACCTCCTCTCCTGCCTCCCGAGCTCCACCAGCACCAAACCTTCGCCTCTGAGCCACAGCCCAGGAAAAGCCTGCCTGCTCCTCCGGGCCTCTGTTCCCCAAACCCAGAAGCTTCCAGCAGAATCAACGGTGCCTGCCTGGGCCTCCTTCCTGTGGAGTCAGATACCAGGCACGACTCTTGTTTCCACAGGAAATTCCCCACTTCACTTTGTCCCTGGCTTCATCGGATGCCGAGGAGTGCCCACGGCTCCCCCATCCCTCCCTGCAGCCCAGCCTCACCTCCAACGTCAGGGCCACGCACAGGCAAGCTTCCCCATGATGCAGCCGAGCGAGCAGCCTGGGGCTGGAGCAGCCTCCCTCCCTGCTGCCCCTCACGGGCCACACACACCAGGGGGACGGCTCCGCGCCCCACCCTCCAGAGACAGGTGTCCTGCACACAGACGTCAGTGCAGGCTGCCCACACCCCTGCCCACGACGACCAGCTGTCA